CACACACACACACCCCCCCACACACACACACACCGAAACCCTTATTCTACTTGCCGTCTTTATAGGTTCATCAACTCTGGGTTTCATACACTGAAAAACAGAAAAATATATAACTTCCTTTAGATTGAATTTAATATCCTGCCTGTGTTTGCTTCTTTTCCATTAGAAGTGCTCTGTAGTAAAGAAAAGGAGATAGGAAGCTTTTAAAATCTTTTGCTCAGTAACAACAGCATAGAATCATTTTCAAGTATGATGATCTGATCACATGTCTTTCAAGAAAATGGAATAAGCTATTATTTTATTTCTATCACATGAGAAAGAAACCCCCACCTCTTTTTTAGCTACTAGGGTTCTAGTTCATCTACACATAGGTTTATTCCAAACAAAACGTATTTAAATATGTCTCTATAATTAGTGTATGTCTAAGTGAGGAGGACTTGAAACATTTGCTGAGGAAGATCAAGGATTGTGGCCTTCACTAAGGATTACAACTCAATGTAATGAAGATCAAATTCCTCACAACTGGACCATATACTTATCATGGAAAATGGAGAAAAGATTGAAGTTGGCAAGGATTTTGTCTTGATAGGATCCACAATTAATGTTCATGGAAGCAGCAGTCAAGAGATCCAAAGAGATGCATTAGGTAAATCTGTTGCACAAGACCCCTTTAAAGTACTGAGAAGTAAAGCTTTTACTTTGAGGACTAAGGTGCGGCTGACCCACGCTATGGTATTTTCCATTGCCTCATATGCATGGGAAAGTTGGAAGGCCTAAGAAGAACTGATACTTTTGATTTGTGGTGCTGGCAAAGAATTTTGAAAGTACCATGGACTGGTAAAAGACAGGCCTATCTGTCTTGAAAGAAATATGGTCAGAGTGCTCCATAGAAGCAAGATTGAAGAGACTGCGTCTCACAGGTTTTGGACATGTTGTCAGGATGCACCATTCCCTGCAGAAGGACATCATGTTTGGTAGAACAGCGAGGCAGTGAGAAAGAGGAAGACTCAAGGAGACGGATTGACACAGTGTGGCTGCAACAATGGGCAGGTGCAGGATCAGACAGCGTTTTGTTCTATTGTGCATAGGGACGCTATTGGTCAGAAATGACTGTGGCGCCTAACAACAACTACACCAAACTGTCTCGCTAATACACGTCTTAGTCTCATTAGAAAGCCTTCATGGTATTCTAATGAGACTGAGATGTGTGTCCTAATCAAGCAGTGACTCCAAGGGGATCTGCTGAGCTACTTTCTTCTAAGGCAGAGAGGTCCTAACGAGACTGAGATGTGTGTCCTAATCAAGCAGTGACTCCAAGGGGATCTGCTGAGCTACTTTCTTCTAAGGCAGAGAGGTCCGAACGAGACTGAGATGTGTGTCCTAATCAAGCAGTGACTCCAAGGGGATCTGCTGAGCTACTTTCTTCTAAGGCAGAGAGGTCCTAACGAGACTGAGATGTGTGTCCTAATCAAGCAGTGACTCCAAGGGGATCTGCTGAGCTACTTTCTTCTAAGGCAGAGAGGTCCGTTCAAAAGACTGTGTGTGAAAGTAGTAATCTTTATGGACACAGAATAGGCATTGGGCCTTATTATGAAGAAGCTTTAAGATAATTGAAAGCTACATTGATGAGATAAAACATAGGAAAGTGATGTTCTTGCTTTTTTTCCCTCCATTACAACAATGTACCTGCGCACTTTTAGCTGATAGCAAGTGCTGTCCTACAAAAATTTTATTGGGAAACCTAACTCCATTCACCCTACATCCCAGATATTACCCTTTCAGTTACCCCCCCTCCCCCCCCTCCCCGTAAAACTCAAGGAACATTTAAAAGGCACACAATATGAGCTCCTAAAAGATGCCAAAACTACTGTTAAAACTGAGTGTTAAATTCTTCAGGGAAGAGCTTAGGAGAGTTGAAATGTTGCCTTCGTAAGTGTAAGATATAACATGGAAGATATGTCAAGAAACAAGAGCTTCATGTTTTTATATTTTTGGTTAATAAACATTTCTGTGATTTTGTAGCAATACTTTTTAACTGTCATCTGAATATCATATCCACAAACTCAGTAAGAATTCACTAAAAGTAGTCATAGCAGTTTGTGGTCATTTGTGTGTCCACACATACACACACACACGCACACATACAACATAGGGATTCATTAGACCATATAAGGGGATGCTGTTTTATTACATCAGAGAAGGTGTGTGAAAGGTTTGTAGCCCTTATCATGCTTGTTCCGTGTGCTGAGCAGATCATCTTGAAAAGTGGCAGTGTAGGAAGAAGAGCGCGGCAACGTGATTGGAAGAACACTCATTCACCGCCTGTTAATTAAAGAGGACTTGAAGCACCTACTGGTGACAATAAGTAAGTATGGACTACACCTCCACATGAAGAAACCAAAACCTTTTTCAACTGGATCAATAAATAGGAAAAAGAAGTTGAAGTTGTAAGGATTTTATTTAGCTTAAATCTACAATCATATATTGGAGCAGTAGTCAAGAAATCAAATGGCATATTTTGATAAATATGCTGGGGGGGAAAAAACTCTTTAAAGTTTTATAAACAAAGATGCCACTTTGAGGACTTAGGTATACCTGACCTTTCAAACCATAATATTTTCAATCCCTTCATAGGCTTTCAAAAGGTGCACAGTGACTAAGAAAAGCCAAAGAAGAATTGATTCTCTGAATTTGGGTGTTGGCAAAGAGTATCAGATGTACGATGGACTTATAAGAAGAAATAAATGTCTTGGAACAAGTACGGCCATGATGCTCTTTAGAATCTAGGATGTTGAGATTTTGTCTCTAGTATGCTAGCATGGTATCAGAAGGGGCCAGTCCCTGAAGTGGTACATCATTTTTCATAGAGGGCCAAACATGGCTGTGTAGATACACAGAATGGGGTAGTATTTTATTCTGTTGTACATAGGTCACTATGAGACAAAACTGACTCAATAGCACCTAACAGTAATAACATGTGCAAAGTGGCAAAAAATTCCCAGCTGAGGTCTGACAAGGCTGGTCCATTTTTTAATTCACTCATCATAGGAAAATATTGGAATATAATTACAGTGAATAACAAGAGTAGATTGTCACCACAGGGAAAGAGGGACCAGACTTCAACCCAGTGCTCCAAGATGTGAATGCAACATGCCGGCATGGACTAGGGAACCAGTGGAGAGGTCTGGGGGGCCGGCCTCAATCCCAACTACATGGACACCAGCCCCTTCCCCCAGAATAATTTATTTTAGAGGACAGCACTGGATCTGCAGCTCTGGCAGAGGAACATGTCTCATCAGAGCACATGGGAGCAAATGAAGGGGGAGGAAGAGAAAGTGGAGCACATCCTGGCCCCCCAGGCCTTGAGGACCATATTCCCGCTCAGAGCAGCCAATCCACAGAGAAGACCACATGGCCAGCCCCACTATGAGACATGACACCTCTCACTGGCCCATAGCCCTACAGGGGACAACACTGGAGACAGTGTGGGAATTCCGCCCGATCTGATCCCATCACACCGAGGCAAAACACTAGGGTGTGAACAAAACATTCAGGGAACAGAGCAACGAAGTTCCCAGGGAATACCAAAAATAGACTTGGGGCCAGGTCTTGGTGCCCCAACAGACTCGACTGGAAAATACTCCTAAAGGCCAACAAACAGTCCTTGAACTAACTACAAGCTTTTCTTTCTTGTTGTGTTTTGTTTTTTTGTCATTGGTTTGTTGTTGTTGTTTTGTTTTCTTTTGTTGCTTGGTTTTGCCCTGTCTTGTTTTTGTGCATGTTATTTCTCCGCAGGTCTGTCTAAATAAGATGGGCTGGATGAACAATCTGGAGGAGAAAACAACAGGACCGACAGTTCCAGGGAGACATGGGAGAAGGGGAGGTGGGGGGAAAGGAAGTGGTGTTAACAAACCCAGAGACAAGGGAACACCAAGTGATCCAAATCAGTGATGAGGAGGGTATAGGAGGCCTGGTAGGGCATGATCAAGGGTAATGTAACCAAGAGGAATTACTGAAACTCAAATGAAGACTGAGCATGATAGTGGGACAAGAGGAAAGTCAAAGGAAATAGAAGAAAGAGCTAGGGGGCAAAGGGCATTTATAGAGGTCTAAATAAAGGCATGTACATATGTAAATATATTTATATATGAGGATGGGAAAATAGATCTATGTGCATATATGTATAGGTTTAGTGTTAAGGTACCAGATGGACATTGGGCCTCCACTCAAGTACTCCCTCAGTGCAAGAATGCTTTGTTCTATTAAGCTGGCATGCTATGATGCTCACCTTCCCGATGCGATCATTGAAGACAAAGCGGGTGCATAAGCAAATGTGAAGAAAGATGATGGTGCCCGGCTATCAAAAGATACAGCATCTGGGGTCTTAAAAGCTTGAAAGTAAACAAGCGGCCATCTAGCTCAGAAGCAACAAAGCCCCCGTGGAAGAAGCACACCAGCCTGTGTGATCACAAGGTGCCGAAGGGATCAGTTATCAGGCAACAAAGAACAAAAAACCATATCACTGTGTGCTCACCTCCCTGATACAATCGCTGAAGACTAATGAGTGCATAAGCAAATGTGGCGAAGAAAGCTGATGGTGCCCGGCTATCAAAAGATATAACACCTGGGGTCTTAAAGTCTAGACCAGAGGATGTACACTGGTACAGATAGAAGGTAAACAGGCAGCCATGCACAACAAAACCCACATGGAGGAAGCACACTAGCCTGTGTGATCACAAGGTGTCGAAGGGATCAGGTATCAGACATCCTCAGAACAAAAAAATCATATTGTGAATGAGTGGGGGAGTACGGACTGGAGACCCCAAAGCCCATTTGTAGGCCATTGGACATCCCCTTACAACTTTCCTCTAGTTCCTAAATGCTTCTTCCCCATCCACTATCATGATCCAAATTCTACCTTACAAATCTGGCTAGACCAGAGGATGTACACTGGTACAGATAGAAACTGGAAACACAGGGAATCCAGGGCAGATGATCCCTTCAGGACCAGCGGTGAGAGTGGTTGTACCAGGAGGGTGGCTTGGAAAGGGGGAACCGATTACAAGGATCTACATATAACAACTTCCCTGGAGGACAGACAACAGAAAAGTGGGTGAAGGGAGACATTGGACAGTGCTAGATATGACGCAATAATAACTTATAAGTTATCAAGTATTCATGAGGAAGCGGGGAGTGAGGAAAAATGAGCTGATGCTAGGGGCTTAAGTGGAGAGCAAATATTTTGAGAATGATGAGGCATTGAATGTACAAGTGTGCTTTACACAATTGTATGTATGGATTGTGATAAGAATTGTATGAGCCCCTAATAAAATGATTTTTTTAAATGGGAAACAAAAGAGTAGATTGTATATGATCTTTATGCCTTAAAAATTCATGTTCTGAATTCTAATCATTTTCCTCCCATGCACTTGGATATAGTTACTTAAGTCTATTAGTTGCTTTTTTATGTATAGTATCTTCTATAATGCAGAGATTTTAAATATCCATGTATTAAAATTTAAGTCTTGTTTTTTACATATTTGTAGGAAGACTTCTTTGTTCTGTTTTACAGTGAAGTTTATAATCTTGTAACAGTTTTGTTAAGATGTCATTTAATTAACATTTTCTCATTGTACAGTGAAGTAGTTTTCATGCATTCACAAAGTTGTACAACCATTGTCACTATTTAACTCGAGAACATTTCACAACCCCAGAAGGATGCCCATCCCCACTGTCACTCCCCAAGGACACACTGAGTGGAACTTCTCAGGGAGCATCCAGATTGCCCCAAAGTGGCGACTGCTCTCTGATCTCTAAGTGGATCGGTCTCTACGAGTTGCTGTTAGGCTGCTATTCGCAGAGAGCAATTGTGATCCTATAGCTGAACTGAGGTGAATGGAATTAAGGAAAGTTAAAATGCCACAAAGGTCGCTATTCTTACCGTTTTTTTTTTTCCTTCTTACTGAAATAAACACTTCTTGAATTGTTGCAATCTTTTGCTTAGTTATTAGTTCTTACAGTTTTTACCAATGTATTTTATTCTGTTTATCAAAGAGTGGGTTTTAGAAATTCATACCCAGACGTTCTGGAAATGCTTGACTCAAATTTACTTTAAAGTGGGAAATAGCTATTTTGTTCTCTTTTTTCCATATTTAATAGCTAGTTATTCCAACCTAGTTAGTGGAATGTGCAAAGATTTGAAACATCTTTTACCATAGCTGCCATTCTTTATTTGAACAGGTAATTCTTGAACACTTACTGTGTGCCAGGTATCATTTCCATAACACAAAAATACTTGGATCTGTTTTTCTCTTCCATTTTGGTCTCATTTATCTATTTGAGGATTGCTATTTCTGTACCATACTGTTTGATACTGTTATTACTATGTGTTTGTTTTGACAGAAACTTTAGAATTTATGAAGTTCTCCTAGTTGCTTGTCTTCCCCTGCAAAATTGACATTGCTGATCTTGTACATATATAAAATATTTATTTGAGAATTACTTTGTTAAACTCTCTAAAAATTAAAAATCATGATGGCAATTTGAGTGTTAAGCTATCCAGCTCAAATAACCTGGAATTTTTCATTGCCATAACAAATACTGATAATTTATAAATAACAATATCCAAGTGCCTATTGAAAGAGTCTAGATTATGATTTCTGTGTTTTAAGAAAATATTTTCTTTCACTGTTTATTTTAAGACTTAGGTATTTTGTAGCAATATTAATTTGAACCCAATCTCACTACTTTATTTTTATTTAAGACATGGTAATTCTTATCAGTGTGTTCGTTAATTTTACCTTTGTCAAGAAAAAAATGTAACATAGATGTTTATTAACTTAGCCTAAAGCTAATTTACGAATTATGTTCAGTTCCATAAGTTGGCACGATACTGAAATATTACTTATTTTTCTACATATAAATTTTATTTTCATGTTAATTTATTTTAATGGAGTTAATTTCAGCCTGCTAAAATGTGCATTATTTGTTAAACTTATCCTAACTTTTTCCAAATCTCAAATACATGAAATAATATATTATTAAAAAAGAAAAATATGGAAAGGAACATCAAGAAATTATTTTTTATCACTCACAATACATATGTCACTTTGTCTAAATCACATTTTCTCTTTGTAGTTGTAAACTTAAAGTGATGTATTAAGAATTTTGAAATAGGGATTTTGTTTGCATTTTATAAGTAGCTTCCTGTGTTGGAAAAATGCATCCTACTTTTTTGTTCCAGTTCCTAACCTTGTTATTTATTAATGACTAGACATTTAAAACCAAACCATCCTTTCTGCCAGAGGTAGGGTGAGTGGTCTTTATTGTACGTCTCCTTTTTTCTTTAGAAACTGCCCTTGGTGCATTAGCAAGAGTCCTGAGAGAAGACTGGAAGCAAAGTGTTGAGTTAGCTACAAATATAATTTACATCTTTTTTTGCTTTTCTAGGTAAGTATAAAAATTATTAAGTAAAAGTCCTAGTCTATTTTTTTCTCTATACCATTAGTTCAGGCTGTAAATCACTTATTTTCTTAGGCTTTCTGTTTGTGTTCGTGCTCCGTCTCTGAACTCTTATTCATGGTGTGTTTCCCATTCTCTGTCCAGCACTCTGTTCTTTCATGTAGTCTACAAATACTCATGCATGTACACACACACCTCTTTGCACGCAAACCCAGGAAGTGAGTATAACAGTTTAGAGTTTCTGACTCTGGAAATAAGCTATCTGGATTTCTTTACCCCAGCCCTGTATTTATTAACTTTGTGACCTTGTTTACATTACTTGACTTCTCTGTACCTCACTTTCCTCATCATCTGTAGGATGTGAGTAGTAAAAATAACCTCTTAGGGTAGGTTTTAGGACTCTGAATTAATGAACTAAAATATAAAGAATTAGAATAAATCTTGACTCAGAGAAAGTTCAGAAATTATATTGTTTTATGTACAAATACATGTGCACACACATAGTCTTATGTATCCATATGTATTATTTATCAACATATCTTTAAAATTTAAAAGGAGGTTTTTTATTCAGACATTGTGAAATTTCTGGCTAATTCTTAGCTAATAGTTTGCTGCTATTTTAAAATTACGCCAGCATTACCAAGCATAAAGTTATTGAGTAAATATCTGAATGAATGACTGCTGAAGAAATATGTGAAAATCCTGATTACTAATATGTTGTTTGATTTTTTCTGGCACCAGTTTTACACAATAAATAAAATCATTTTCTAGTATTGCACAATTAATTTTGCTAATTTGGTATTCTGAAATTTTATTTTTAGAGTATCTCAAAAAGTAGTTAATTGCAAAACTAATTCTAACTTTCTCAAAAAAATCAACAAGTGATTTCAATGAAATGAGTATGTTAAACTATCTTTAAAGTAATCTTATGCTGTGAAGTCTTTGTGTATAAGCATATTCATTTATTGCTTGTCCTAATGTTTACTCAAAACAAGTCTCCTTAACTTATAGAATGTATTCCTTTTAATATGTATTAACATCTCTTCTTTAAAGCTTTTCTCAGTTTCATGGACTTATCACCCATTATAAAATTGGAGCTCTGTGTATGAATATCATTGATCATGAGTTAAAAAGACATGAGCTTTGGCAAGAAGAACTTTCTAAAAAGAAGAAAGCTGATATCCTTTAAAAATAATATTTGCCCCTTTGTTGCCTATTACTATAAGCTTTGGAAAGATAGGGTGTTTTTTGTTTGTTGTTGTTTTTATTTACTATTCAGAGTACTTGAATGTAAAACAATGCTTAGTGCATAAAGGTTAAGATAAAGATTGAAAATAACAGAATGACTGCAGCTTGACATAAAATTTTGGGAGTGTGTGTGGGGTTTTTTTGGTCTTCATAGCTGCCTTTAGTTTATGAGGTTGTTAGGAGCAAGTAATAGTGGTTATGAATAACTGGATTGGTGAGTCTCTAAGGGGCTACACCATATGCCTTCGGAAATCCTTTAGTTATCTAAAACTTGGCTCACCACTGATGCTTTTGTACTTCTCTCTAAGTAATGGAATGACTTTGCTTAGAATGAATGTAAGTTTGGTAATGGACCTAATTTTAAATTCTGTTTTTCTATTTAGTACAAAAATACTTTCTTAGTAAATACAGATTTGAGAGGCCAAATAAGTGATAGAACCTATAAAATAAATCTTAGAAATGAATGTATTTTACAATACAGGGCTCTTTTTTATAATATCTCTGGCAGATGATTATAGATGGTTATTAATTTTCTTCTCGGTAACTGTTTAGTAATTTTAGCCCATTTTGTGCTTTGAGATTCTACTTATTATAATGTTCTTTTGCTTAGTGAACAAAATCAATTTTTCAGTACCTTCTGTTCCTTTGCCCTACCCTCCACCGCAGCAATGTAATTAAGGACTTTTTTTTTTAACTCAACATTGTCATATTTGAAGACATTTATCATAGTGGCTCTATAAATAATTACCCTAATTTGACTGCCTTTGTTTACTCAGATGTCTGCATATAGCATGTTTTCCATATTCACAAGCCATGCTAACTCTTTTTTTGGAACCTAACATTCATTGATCTTTTGAAGAGGGAAATATAATGTCTGTTGCATGAAATACCTTGCATTTCCTACCTCCATTTAGTGGGAAAAGGGGACAGTATTCTTATATTAATTTTGGCCTCTATAGACACTAAGATTTGAATTTTATCTCACCTATGATATGTAGACTAATCCTGAGTATTCTGTATAGGATCTCTCAGGCTTTTATTATTATAGTTTGAAATTCCCAAGACTTTTAAAATGTACCCACCCAAAATTTTGAATTTTACTTAATTAGGATCTCTATATTTAGAAATATTCTGTGTGCTATAAATATCTTGCATTCAAATTGCTATTGCCCTGAAATACTAAGATAACTGAATAACTTTGGAGACTTGAGCTGGGTCTTGAAGTCCCAAGCCTCCTGAATGGTTCGATGTAACCAAACTTTATTTAAATAAGAGACGAAGGGAGAAAAACACTACTAGAACGTTTTAGCAATCATTAATTTGCTTAGCTTTCTTCATGTTTGTGATTGTTGACAAGAACTAATATTTAAGGACATGTTGTATTTCTGCCAGACACTATGGATTCTAAATTTCACTACTATGTTTGAACCACTAAGAGAAGAAAGAATGCATCCAATTAAGTGATGACACTTCATGGATTAGAAGAGACACTGATTCTGCAGTAGTTAAATATGGGAGAAGTATGTCTCAGAATCAAGACAGTATGGTAATTGAAGAGATACAAAAATGACCTTTCAGAATGTTGACCATTTTTCTTGAAATAAATACTATTTTACTGTCTAAATTTCCTTCTGCTTGGATGCAAATAACATGTAAGAATATCAATTGTTTACTTCATACTCAGGGTTCTTTGTTTAACTGATTATTTCTGCAAATACAGAGCATTATTACAGACCTTAAAATGTACTTTTAAAATTTGTTTACCTGTAATTCTAGTATATTTCCCTTGGAGTCTAATGTGGGTGATCAAAAGCTTTAGTTCTAATTTGCATCCTTTAAATGTTCTGGACATCTGTCTGAGCTGAATCTAGTAATTTACTAGTTATTTACTTGATAAAAATTCATGGATCCGTTTGACACTTTGTTGAAAGTGATAGACTTGTACACATAAAATATTTCTGGAAATATTTTCTGGATGTTCTGGAAATTCAAATTCTCAGTGAAGATCAAACGTGTACATAATAGGACTCAGAAAAAATCCTTGAAACATAGACTAAGATCTCCTATTAGCACAGTTATTGGGCAGAGAATATTATATATATATACATATATACATATACACACATATACATATATACATATATATGTTAAAATAAGTATTTAAAATAACATTTCCTTTAAAATTTAATAGTGCTATTTGTCATAATACTTTTCAGAAAGCTTTTTTTGTTTTATTGAGTACGTAAGATCCTTAACTTATGTCATTTACTTGATGAAGACCCTGAAAACCAAACTTTGAGAAAAGATTATGAAAAAACATTTAAAAAATACCAGGGGCTTGTGGTAAAACAGGAACAACTTTTAAGAGGTATGAATTCTTAAACAATTAGAAATGTAACTATTACTCTAGAAATGCTTACTTTGTTTTATTTTTCTCATTAAAATAATATACCAGAATAGTTAAAAGTTCTATAAATCTTGATAATTGTAAATTGTTTTTTGTCTTTAACTTAAGTTGTAGTGTTTTAACTTTAACTCCAATATATTTCTACCAAAGCCCTTTCAGGTCTAATGTATATATTCTTATGACTTAATTACTCTGAAAAGATGTATTTTTAATTATTTTGGGGGGGCTCGTACAACTCTTATCACGATCCATACATCCATCCATTGTGTCAAGTGTATTTGTTACATATGTTGCTATCATCATTTTCAAAACACTTTGTACTTGAGCCCTTAGTATCAGCTCATTTTTTCCCTTCCTTCTCCCTCATGAACCCTTAATAATTTATAAATTATTATTATGTTTTCATTTCATTCACTGTCCGATGTTTCCCTTTACTCCCTTGTCTGTTGTCCATCCCCCTGGGAGGGGGTTATAGGTAGGTCATTGTGATCAGTTCCCCTTTTTCCCCCCCACCTTTCCCTTACCCTCCTGGTATGGCTACTCTCAATATTGGTCCCGAGGAATTTATCTGTCCTGTATTCACTGTGTTTCCAGCTCTTATCTGTACCCATGTACATTCTCTGGTCTAGCCAGGTTTGTAAGGTAGAATTAGGGTCATGATGGTGGGGGGAGGAAGCATTAAGGAACCCGGGAAAAGCTGTGTGTTTCATCAGTGCTATACTGCACCCTGATTGGCCCATCTTCTCCCCACAACCCTTCTGTAAGGGGATGTCCAATTGCCTACAGATTGGCTTTGGGCTTCCACTCGCACTCCCCTTCTCATTCACATTATGATTTTTTACTCTGGGTCTTTGATCCCTGATACCTGATCCCATCAACACCTCGCGATCACACAGGCTGATGTGCTTTTTCCATGTGGGCTTTATTGCTTCTCAGCTAGATGGCCGCTTGTTTATCTTTAAGCCTTTAAGACCCAGACGTTATATCTTTTGGTAACTGGGCATCATCAGCTTTTTTCAGCACATTTGCTTATGCACTCACTTTGTTTTCAGCGATTGTGTAGGGAAGGTGAGTATCCCAGAATGCCAGATTATTAGAGCAAAGTGTTCCTGGATTGAGGGAGTACTTGAGACCCGATGTCCATCTGCTTCCTTAATACTAAACCTATAAATATATGTACAAAGATCTAGTTCCCCATCATCATATATAAATATATTTACGTATGTATATGCCTGTATTTAGATCTCTATAGATTCTCTTTGCCTCCTAGTTCTTTCCTCTATTTCCATTTACTTTCCTCTTGTCCCACTATCATGTTCAGCCTTCATCTGGGTTTCCATAATTCCTCTTGGTTACATTGCCCTTGATCATTTTGGGAAGGTGAACCCATCACAGGGTTGGATATATAGCCCACCCCACAGAGGGACAAATAACAGAAATGTGGGTCAAGAGAGACAATGGACAGTGTAAAACATAAAATAATAGCTAATATATAATTTATCAAGGATTCACAAGGGTGGAAGGGTGGGGGAGGAAGGGGAAAAAAGAGGAGCTGATACCAAGGATTCGAGTATAAAAAAAAATGTTTTGGAAATGTTGATGGCAACATATGTACAAGTGTGCTTAGTACAATTGAATGATGGATTGTTGTAAGATTTGTAAGAGCTCCCCAATAAAATGATTAATTAAAAACAAGAAAAAATAAACTCCCACGGTTAATTCTATGCCCTAGAGCAGCAGTTCTCAACTGTGGGTCACGACCCCTTTGGGGGTCAAACAACCCTTCCACAGGGGTCGCCTGATTCATAACAGTCGCAAAATGACAGTTATGTGGCAATGAAAATAATTTTATGGTTGGGGGGTCAACCACAACATGAGGAACTGTATTAAAGGGTCACAGCATTAGGATGGTTGAGTTTACTAGGTATTTGCTGATATCCAAAAAAGAAATCAAATGAAACATTGCAGTTCCTAAATCTGCTTCACAGGACCTCTTTAAAGTGTTTAAAAGCAAGGCCCTTCCTTTGAGGGTACGATGAATCTGACCCTTGGGTATGGTATTTTCACTCACCTCATCTGCATGTGAACGTCGGACATTGAATAAAGAAGCCTGAAGAAGAATTGATGCATTTCAGTTATGGTTCTGGCAAAGAACATTGAAAGTACCACAGACTGCCAAAAGAACTAACAAATCTATCTTGAAAGAAATATAGCCAGACTGCTCCATAGAGGCAAGAATAGTTTGGACATGTTATCAGGAGGGACCAATCCCTGGAGAAGGACCTCTTGCTTGGTGAAGTTGAGGGGCAGTGACAAAGAGGCAGGCCCTGGACAAGATGGACGTACCCAGTGGCTGCAACAATGGGCTCCAACAAAAGAACAAGTGTCAGGATGGCACAGACTGAGTGGTGTTTTGTTCTGTCGTACGTAGGGTTGTTGTGGGTCAGAATGTAACCTGATAACCACGAGCTAATGTGTACATGGAGTTACGCCTTTGATAAAAGGTTAGAGGTTTAATTTCTTGCCTTACAAGAATGCATGAAGTACTAAAATTAGAGTAAAATTAAAGTTACAGGAAGGCAAACATTTATGTTATCTTCAATAATCCACATAATTCTGACAGAAATTTTTAAAATTTAACTCTGAAGATTCCTATTAGTCAAAGCAAAATGAAGAATAGTTATCTGTTACATGATTCTCACTGTCAAAAGAAAACAAGCAAGTGTGTTAAAGAAACAAACCATTTTTATAAGCGGTTATCTAAAATTTCCTTAAAATAGTAGACAGTGACCTCAACTTTGTCTAGAACAACAAAGGTATTATTGCACTTCATATGGCTGTTATAGTGAGTACCGGAAAATCCATTTTGAGAATGAAAATGTTGTAGTATCCTCAAATTTAGCTCCAGCTATAATATATATCATATACTGCTCAGTTCAACACATCAGCCCTTAGTCGTTGAAATTGAATAGTACCTTACCTTGTTTTCTATATGTATGAAATGTATTGTTCATTGCCTGCTTGTTTTTTATTTGCTACCTTTAATTACCAGTGATTGCTATTAAGTTCTAAACTCTAAAAAGGTAGGAATTATTGTCTTTTATTGCTGTTCATCTATTTCTTTTTTTTTT